ATATAATATATATATATATATATATATATATATATATATATATATATATATATATATATATATATATATATATATATATATATATGTGTGTGTGTGTGTGTGTGTGTGTGTGCGTGTGTGTGTATGTGTGTGTGTATGCATGTATATATATGTAAAGTGCCTACTTAGTGAGAACTTTGGACGGCGAAATAGAAGCTTCTAGATGGATGTACATCACTCAAGGTATACGATACGCAAACAAGTACTACTTTCCCGTACAGCCACGCGCTATATGGACATCACGAACCCCCTCATGGCTCTTGCGGTGCCCCACCTTGTGTATGTATCGTTCAATGATTTCTCCGGTGTATCCTCATTCACATTATCGCCGCCACCCCCAATAGCCGCAGCTTCCAGGCCCTCTACGGCAGATCTCCTGTGTGTAGTTGCTTTAGATAGACATTTCTGGGGCAGCGTCCGGATAGCCTTCTTGGGTTGGCTGAACACATCGAATGAGAAGCCATCCAGCATCCCCATATCAGCCGCGTAGCCGTCCACCGGTTCCACGCGAGTCTCTGTGGGGTCCTGGTCCAGTCGTGTGTGAGCACCTACCTGGGTTAGCTTGCCTCTCCTCCCTTTTCTCCTGTTTCCTTTGCCTTCACCCACAATCGCGGCCGTATGCGTCGCATTAGTTGCACTGTCTCGACTGTCCTGTAGCCTATTCGCATCATCGTCACACATAATTGGAGAGAGTGTCTTCGCTGTGTTCTCCAGTCCCAGTTGGCGGATAATCTCTGCGTCTGCATCTACAAAGCCTTGACCATCCCCGTCACCAGTAGTATCCATTCCCACATCTTTACTACCTCCCGCTGCACCATCTATCTCACGGTCCTCCGGAACAACACTATCAGACTCAGCACTTTCATTCTCGTCGCTATCGCTCTGACTGTACACAATCTCGCTTTCGCTGAGCACACTTGTGTCTCGTATCTCCATGGCTTCTACCTCCATATCGCCTACGGACAACTTAGGCTGAACCTCAGTTGATGTCGCTTCCAAGCTACCGCCTATCACAACCCTGTCTACGGTTTTACGTTTTTTCTTCCCCTGATTTGAGGGTACATCCACCGACATTTCCGCTTTCCTTTTCCTACCACCACCGCCATCTCGAATGTCTTCTTGGTTGCTAGGAGACCCCTTCCGCTTGCCACCTGCACGAGTGCTCCTCGAATCCGCCTTCGGATAACCAACTCTCTCCTCATCGTTAGCGGGCGTACAAACGCTTACAGCTACACTTAGTACAGTTCCTCCCATGGAAGCTTGCCTCGTGTCCGCACCAGTAATCGGAGTCATACTAACTATGCGTTTGTCATCGGTGTTAGTGTTACTAGCCCTGCGAGGGTTTCTCGGGGATCTCCTTGACGACAGTCGCTCAGTGCTGTTCGGTCCACCCCCCTCCTGCGGTGACCAAGTCTCACCTATGACTTCCGCACATTCCCTGTTGCTAGTTATCCCCAGTGTAACTACACCGCTAATACTTCCTCCGCGTATGCCTGCCGCTGCCACCACAGCTGGCGATGACTCGTTGTCCTTCGCAGTAGTACCACGAGTGGCCCTCGCAGGTCCACGTGCACTCGCCTGGGTGCCTGCACCCGTCTTGTGCGGGGTTGTACTTGCTGAGTCATATTGTACGGGTTCCGTGTCCTCAGGCGTTTGCTGCGTGCGTTTCGCTCTCCGGTTGCTTCGGGTTCTCTGCGTTCCCACAGTGGTGGTTGGTGATGGAGTGGGATCAACACCAGATGTACCAGAGCCACGGGTGGCCCTGGCAGATCTCGTCACGGGAGAGACAGCCTCACATTTAACCTCTTCGCTCTCCTTGTGCCCTTGGTGTCGATCCGGGCTGCCCGCCGAGCCTTCGTTCGAGTCCGTTACAATGTGGAGTGCAATTGATGCAACGCTTCTCGTAGTTCTTCGTGTTGCTACTTTAGCTGCGGATGATACGCCATAGTCTTTCTTGCTTTCACCACAACTAACCGACGCAGCTTTAAACGCACTCGTTTGCGTAACGGCCGTTGAATTCCCTTTCCGTGGCGTCTCTTTCGAGCTGTCCGTGGATCGGCCACTTCTACGTGTTTTCCGTGGTGAAGCTACAGCAGTAGCAGTAGTTGGTGATACTGCGGTACTGATATCAATAGTATCACAATTAGCCCTCGCAGGTCTCTTCGACGCTCTCCTAACATTACTTTGCGGTTCTACAACCAATTTGTGCACACTAGCACTTCCAGCTTCCGTATCGGAGTGTTCAATCACACCAGCCTTACCTGTTGTTTCTGTAAATCGAGCGCTTCTGCGAGTTCTTCGTGTTGCTATGGGAACAGCTTGAGGTGTCCCCTCGATAGTTTCTGCTTCGCTGGCGGGGCGCAGTGCTCGTACCATGGCTCAAACAATAAAATTCACGCACACGAGCCTAATATTGCACACCCGAATTGATGGTGCATTAAGCTCACACCCAAAAAATCCTCTGCATATATAGTTACAGACTTCAGATCCGTACTCGCATGTCCAGCGGCTTTATTACCATCCTTCAAAACACCCGAATGGCTGTAATACCACCTATCGTGTAATCGAATACGTGAGTGTACTTACTATCGACCGCATACAATATATAGATTCGCGTTGCGTTGCGTGGCGATCCGTGCAGGTATAATTGTCGAGACGTACAACTAGAGATAATCAAGCGTTTGAGTAAGGGGAGCCTGATTGCGATACCCCTATCCGACTATGCAGCGTAGTAAGTACCTAAAATACATATTTATTGCATATTCCACTGCTGTCGTTTTATTGAAGTTGCTCGCTTCTCAGACTCACATCTCACAGTCACAGATGACAGTCACAGATGGAATACATACATCTTGCGCAGTGATTTCGGCAAATGATACTGGCAACCTAAAAAATAATATGATATTTTATAAAGAAATCTAAAACAAAACAAAAGTACTCGTGCTCGTACTGGCTGCGGGTGCAAGCGCTGAGTGTGCACTATTAGCTTTGTGGGATTGCGGAGTCCGCTCCGGGGACAATAACGACGCTCAACAGCTATACGCCCATCCTGATGCATAATATGGAAGAAAAATGAGCTTGTGTGGTGGCTTCCCAGATGACTGTCTGTTTTAGTTTTAGCTTGCGGTCAACAGGGGGTGGCAACTACTGATGTAGCGGAAATCTGCATGGCTCACAAAAGCGCATACCATCTTCAGCTGCTTGAAGCTGCTGTTGGAAATGCAAATATGGGAGTGCGTGGGCGAAATCGTGGCACCGTTCAGATTAAGTGAAATTTAATACTTGAATTTTCTGTCGACTACACACTGCACAACAAGAAAATTTGAAGATGCTATAGACTACACTGCAAAACAGACGTTCAAACTGCTATACGTTGCACTGGATGATAGTTGTGGTGTGATATACACCAAGTAGTTATTTATGCGCTATATATTTATCTAATTAAAATGCAGAAAAGAAAACCACATCAGGTCTGCTCCGGACTCCTTTTATGTTCAATACGGGCCGCAACGAGGTAGCCTACCACGCCGGCGGTTTGTATGGCAATGATAAGCCAACTAACCTCCATGAGAGTCATGTACGGATATACATAGAACGCGATCGCGGTTGAAATGCCGCTCCAAAACTTCAGATTACCGAAAGCGCTCTCCGGCGTATCTTCAAAGTACTCGCTAAAAACAGCGGCATTCAGGGTATTCCAAGTGCCTTGGCTGATGCCCAGCAACGCAGACAAGGCAAAAATTGCCACAAAATCATCATTTACAAAGGTGTGAGCAAGGCATACGATACCCACAATAAGCGTTGCCAGATAAGCAAACACCATTCCGGGCGTACGACCGTACTTGTCCGATAACCATCCGAGGGGAAATGACCACAATGCAGCGACAGCGTAGTTGCAGCAGAATGTGTACCCAATATTATCATTCCCCAAATAAGGGGCAACAACCGCTGAAACAAACAGTCCGTTCTGGAACGCACTCGTCAGCCCAAAGGCGATGTTGCTTAATGTCAACCACTGCAATCGCGCGTCAGTAAGAAAATGTGTTACAACCTTGAATAACAGTGATTTAGCGCTGAATTCCTCAGCGGAAAACGAAGACTCGTCATCGTCTCTGCCATTCGGGGGGGCTATGGTGACGTCGTCTTTTGACTGTCTGTCTCCATTTGACTGTCTGGCTCGAACATAAAGCCCAGAAGAGGACGATCGCTCCGCAACATCAGATGGTGCTACTATTGATCCGGGTACAACTTCCGGCACCACCACTACTTTGCTGAAGCGACTGGACACTAGGTGTAGATTGCCTCGGAGGAATATACTAAGCACAGATCCGATTCCAGCAACAACTACGAAGATAATGAACAGCAGAGGGTCGATTGCGCTGTCTGTTTCAGACTGCTCCTCGTCTGTTTGTGACATTGTAACAGACGACACCAATTGTCCCAGGAACAGACTTGATTGGAATATAAACCCGAATGTACCATTAAAAAGCCCCATGGAGCTGCCCTGTTCCTTTCCCTTAAGCTGTGCATGCTCAGCAGCTATCGCAGTTATGTACGCCCCATATGCAGCCCAGATGCAAGCGGCACCTACTCCGGAGATAGCAGACGCTGGAATAACTAGGGCGTCGGTCACATTGGGAACCAACGCATAGGCAATAATATACAACTCATACCCGAACATGCCCGCTACAAATGCCCATTTCGGTGAAATGGCATAAATTATAGCTGGACTAACTAGATTCGTGAACGCAAATGTAAAGTACAAAGTGCCCGACGACATTGATCCTATCGATCCCGTGGTCGGAGCAAGTGTGAGAACCGCAATAACACACGCCTCGAGTAGGCCGAAGGCGATAGAGAAGTGTAAGCAGTCAAATACATAAGACGCGGGGGTGCGTTTCAGTGATTTGGAAGCATTTGGTAGGGAGTCAACACCATCCTCCGTGTCGGAACTATTGTCGATAACGGCCTCTATCTCCTTTTCGTCATCGTATAATTTTGTGGTTGATGCAGGCTGGGTTTTATTCATAGTGCGATGGGAAGCGGCGTACTTGTGAAAGTACGTGTTAAACTGTATAGCTCATTTAACAACCTCTGTGCTACCTGCTTAGAATAATTGCATATGAATTTTATACTGTGAACGTTGTGATCAAATATCATTTAGAGAGAAGTAATGCATCAGGAATCATCTGATATTGAGCCTATCATTTGACGACAACTCATTGAGACACATCACACACAGGTGCTTTTTCAAAAGACCTGCAGGCCCGCCTTCCTTTATTTGGATCGTTCAAAAGATCAGTTGGTTTAGTAAATAAAACCTAGGTTTATGACAGTCGGAAGCTCAGGATCACCGCTATGTAAACCTGGGTTTTCTCGCGCGATCCAAGCATACTTTTCCAATTGAAAATATTACATATCCATATAAATCACACGAAAGGGGTTGTCAGGGTATCCTGCACTGGAGATGCCGTACACGTACGTCTGCCATCAGACTAACACCCAGTATACTATTACCAACTCGCTGGTACTTGGCTGGTATGGTGCGACTTCTGCGCTCGGCCCATAAAGCTGAAAGCGCTAGTACGGAACCACTACGACCAAGGGTGCCTGTAACCTCACGAGCGACGAGAACTCCACAGTTAAAGCAGGGTGGTAGTATGGATAGTGGCGTGGTACAAGATGGTGAAGGTAAAGTTGTGGGGGAGCGTGTGGAAGACAGTGTTGGCGAAGGTAAGTCTCCGGCCACAGATATAAAATTAGAAACTCTGGGGGCAGATACAGACGCATACACCCCTGCACTATTGAAAGAGACGTCTATCATAAGTGAAACGGGTTCTCTGCATGGAGCCAGTACAACCAGTGCATCTCGAGAAAGCGCAGTAGGGAGCAGTAGCAATGATAGTATTTCTCTGAATGGTACAGTAAATATAGGCCGTGAGGCGTCGGACCTAGTACTAGGATTCTTACCAAGGAATGGTATGCAACACCGTGTGAATGCTACATTTGACTCTGAGGCGGTGACGCAGGAGGCAGCAAGCACAAGCAGTCTGCCGTGGTCTGGCAATGGCTTGAGTGATAAGGCTGAAGGGAAACAGAAGCGCAAACAGGGGGATGTGTCGAATGACGAGCATAGCAGTGAATGTCCCAGGAAACGGGTCAAGCATGTAGTTGACGCACTAGATAGTGGACACAGTAGCCTTACTGCATCAGCACACAGCAGCACTCAGTATTCACTGCCGGTGGAAGATATTTTGCTCAACAACGGCTTGTTTCCTCTGGAAGATAGGCCTGGCCAGAACCCTCTCAGTGACAAGAATTGTATATCAGAAGTATGTGGTAGAAATGGTGGTTGGATGGAATGGGAAACTGAGGGTGAGAGACACGCAAGACAGAAAGAGGATGCTGCAACAAAGGCTGCTTACGTATTCCTCACAAAGAAATGGGTATGTGACGTATGGTATAGATACTTCTATTTCTACACATATGTGCATGTTCGTGTACATGTGTGTGCATGTTGTATTCTTTCATGATATAATGCAGATATGTACTAATATATTATATATATATATATAGTTATATATAATTATATATATACAATTTATCTACATATATATATATATATGTGTGTGTGTGTGTGTGTGTGTGTATGTATGTTGTACGTTGTATATATATTATT